GAGTTTCCCTGGTGGTGCCCAGAGTGGCCACCAAGGCAAGCTGGGGAGGGCTAGCCTCCCACTAGTTCGAATTAAGTGGCTACACAGCCCTTAATTTGAACTACTTAATTCGAACTAGGCGTTAGTCCTCGTAGAATGGGGTTTACCTAGTTCGAATTAAGCGCTCCGGTTTGCCTGTGTAGCGCCTATCAAAGTCTGTTAGTTCGAATTAACTTTGTAGTGTAGATATACCCCAGGACACAAACATAAAAAAGAGCCAGGGGTGCTCAAATACCATAATGGTTTATCTATGGTTCTGAGCTAAACCTATCCCATTGCAGTTAAAGGAATTACTCTAGCAGTGAATTGGGCTTTAACCACACAGCTTTCAATAATTATTACAGACCATATCAAGAAAATATAAACAGAAGGGAAATATAGTGGATCTGGCTGGCCTCAGCACCCTACTGTTTCAGTGGATATAAATGACAAGAGAAGTCAGTAAGCTGTAGCTCTGTGGATCCAGGGATTTTAGGGAGACAAGGTGGGTAAGAATTTATTGTACCAACTTCTTCTTACTAACCGAAGTGGGTCCAATAAAATATTACTTCAACATCTTGCCTCCCTAGAGAAGTCAGTGGCAGTCAAGAGCCTTAACTCAAGGCACCCCAAAGTTGCCCAAGCCACTACTAGTTTGCTGCAATCATGCCAGATGAACTCATCACAGGAAGGCAAGAGAAAGTGACCTATCCCAGAGGAAGAAATAATGCTGTCATCCCTTGAATCCTTTGGGAAAGAATAGCAGAGCTCCTCTATGAAAGTTTCATGAGGAGGATAAAAGAACGTCCCTATCACATAAATGAAGTGCTTCACATGCTCCCCTCCCCTTGCGAGCCCAGCATGCTAATGAAAAGCAGATGCCAGAGCTGCAGAGGTGTCATTTCAGATTTTTTGGAAGGGTGGAATCAACTTTAACCATCATTACAGTACTACTTAGACATCTGAAAACTGAGTTTTCTTCTGCTAGTAACTTAGGGTATGTCTACATTTGCTCCCTAGTTCGAGCTAGGGATGCAAATGTAGGCGACCGAAATTGCTAATGAAGCGGGGATTTAAATATCCCACACATCATTAGCACGATATCGCCAGCACGTTACTCCACTCAACAGCTGATTCAAACCAGAAAGTGCGCTCCGGGACGCGTTAGTTCAAACCAAACCCCTTGGTTCGAACTAACATTACTCCTCATTTTTTGAAAAAATGTTGAAAAATGAGTACCGTTAGTTCGAACCAAGGGATTTGGTTCGAACTAATGCATCCCAGGGTGCACAGCCTGGTTCGAATCAGCTGTTGAGCGGAGTAACACACCGGCGAGATCATGCTAATGAAGCACGGGATATTTAAATTCCCGCTTCATTAGTGATTTCAGTTGCCTACATTTGCATCCGTAGCTCAAACTAGGGAGCAAGTGTAGACGTACCCTTAGAAATTAGCTGACAGGAGCACTGTATCTAGTTCCTATAAACAAGAAAATATATAGACATACCAATTAAAGCTATATTTTAAATTTATATGTAAATTTAGAACTATCAGGAAAAGTGATTATCAGAAGATAACACAACTAAATATTCATAATCCCAAACTGGGAGACATCATTTAAATCATAAAAATGGCCATACTGGGTCAGTCAGACCCATGGTCTGTCTAGCTTAGTACCTTGACTTCTGACATTATCCAGTGCCATGTGCTTAAAAAAGAATGAAAAGAACACACAATAGTCAAGTGATCTATCTCCCGTGGGCCACTCCCAGCTTCTGTCAAACAGAGACTAGAGACACAGCGAGTATGATGTTGCATCCGTGCCCATCTTGGCTAAAAACCACTGATGGACCTATTCTCTATGAACTTATCTACAGGTTGCACCTCCCAAAACCAACATTCTCTGGTCCAGTAACATCAGACCACAGATGTTCCTGGACCAGAGAACTCAAGAAGGGCTGGCAGCCCACAGCAACAGGGGGACAGAGCCCATGCAGCCTGCAGCAGTAAAGCCAGAGCTGGAACCCGCAGCAGCCCAACCGGGGCCGGAGCCAGAGCCCATGGCAGTTCAGCCAAGGCCAGAGTCCATTGCCCAGCAGCCTGGCCACGGACAGAGACCTGTAGTCTAGCAGGCGGCCTGGCCGAGGCTGGGGGCCAGCAGCAGTGAGGCTGGCAGCCCAGCTGGTGCTGGCAGTAGTGGGGGCCAGAGGCAGGGGGCTGGCTGGAGTGGAATCGGAGCCGGCAGCATTGATCAGTGGGCTGGGGGGGCAGAGTTAGGGGACCTCCTCTGGTCAGGCAAATTGAATCATTTGGGATTGGACAGATCCCAAGGGTGCTGGACCATGAAATCTAGTCTTCCCTGTTACCTTAAAAATATTCTCACTGGAGACCACCCAGGGTTACACTAATATGGGTTTATTTCCACTAGGTAAAAGTAAAGAGGAGAAAGCAGCCACCAAAAGTTTAAACTAAAGAAGATAGAACTCTCTCTCTCTCTCTCACTCACACACACACACACACACACAGGCAAGCAAGCACACACCCCTCCATTCATTCACTCACTCATTCACACCCATTCACTCCTGCCCTCATGCAATCAC